TAGGGGGACAAATGCTGAAATAGGTATCGGGCCCAAAGAGAAGGGATATCTGAAGGCCTTTCTGAGCCATTTCTCAGTACTGGCACCATTCCTAATAAAACCGCCTACTGGAAATCCCATCCACTTGGTAAATGTTTATGGAACACGTTCTCATGACAGATCCTGTTCTAGACACTGCTGTCAAGGAACCTGGTCTAGCGGGAAGCAGGGAACTATAACACGTCTGTTGTAAGGTACGTGGAAAGTACAAAGAGGGCACAGGCGTTCACTCGAGTCTGGTGACTATGGGCCAAGCTACAGGCAGGAGGAGTGGGAGATGGCCACTGGACAGAACATTCCAGGTGAGACCAACAGGAGTAAAGATACTGCGGCATGAACTACTACAGTACAGCCTGTTCACATAACTGGACAATCCCATCATGTGAGCATAAAGCGTCTATGCTGGGGTGGGAACCAGTGGGGGACCAGTAGGAGGTCGGCCCCTAATAGTCAGGTAGGGGTCACATCATAAAGGGCATTAGCCTCTACCTCGCAGGTGAATGTGAAGCCGAGGAATGGCACAATCATTCACATGTCAGGAGACTGCTTTGGTAACAGAAGAGGAGAGAGATTCAAATGAAGACCAGAGACCGCAACCAGGAGAAGGCTATTATATGAACAGAGATAACGAGGACCTGAACTTAAGATGCAACAGTGGAAATGAGCATAAGGTCCCCAATTTAAGGAATACTCAGAAGGTAAAATATGTGACAGACATCACAGGCTTCCAGCTAACTGCCATTTCCAGCTCCCTGCCTTCCTTGCCGCAGCTCACCAGGCGGGCCAGGAAAGCCAGCTAGCCCCTCTCTCGGCTTCGACAGCCACAGGTGAGCCCATTCCAGACCATTCCTTAGGAGGGGAGGGTGGCTCTGGCAAAGCATTTTCTGTGAAAAGGAGAAAAAGGCTCTACTCGCCTCTGTCTTTCTTCACACCCTGCTGGAGGACGTTCTATTTGGTGCCGGGATGGTCATTTCCCAAGTAGGAGGGGACAAACCAGAACAAAAGCCAACAGGGAAGGGACAGACAGAGGGACAGACAGCAGCACGAAGGATGGAAAGTCTCAGTCCTTGGTGCCCCCCAGCTGAGCTGCTGAACTAACCCGGGATCATTTATCTCTGGAGTCAAGAGGAGTATCCTTCCAGCTTAAGCTACTGATGGTCAAGCTACTGCTTTCAGACAGAATCAACCAGACTATGAGCGGCGGGGCCTGGGGACTGGACTCTGACGGCTCATAATACAGAAGCAGCAGTGCTTTTACTCCCAGCATTCTGGCTTGGAAAACCAAGCAGAAGGTCATCAAGACAAAATTATAATCCAAGATTGGGGGTGGGCAGTGTTGGGTCGAGTAAAGGGTGACGTCTGAGCTGGGAAGGTGATTTAGGTGAAGGGTGCATGTAGATGTGTCTGGAACTCATTTAAAAAGTCTGAATTAGACGCACAGATGCATGCGAAGTCAGGTCACACACGTGTGCCCTCACATGCTCTTGGAGGACTCAGATGGAAGCGGGATGGTCAAAAGAAATACGGACCCAAACTTCCTTATTTGAAGAGTCTTAGTGCTTTTTTTTTTTTTTCCCTATTAAGGCTCTGAAGATGTACAAATACTATTTGAAAACAGGAAGCAGCTTACTGAATGAATCTAAAAGTATTATCGTGCTACTGCATGTTATTTTGTAAAACTTCATTAGTGGCCAAGATGATCCGAAATGGCACAAATTCGGGGTCTCTGGCAAATGAAACAATCGTGGGAGACAGCCTACACCAGACACTGGCCCGGCCCCTGACCCCCAGCTGAATCACCTGCTTTACGTGTGCCCGTAAACTAGGAACATGTGAATAACCTCATTCCAGGACCCAGAAATAACCCAGGCCATGTTTTATTGGTAGCAGACTACCCCAAAGTACAAAGAGGAACATAATCACTGAGAAAGCAGCAAGCAATAATTTAGCTGCACTGTGTAAGATTAAGTAACCTTTTAAGGATTATCCTATCCCTCCATGAGAAGAAGTTAATACAGGTGACCCTGATACGATTTCTTTCTTACATGCAGCAGTTCTGGAAGAAGAGAAATGATCAGCGATTCCCCATCTAGGGAACAGGAAAAATGCAGTCCAAGCTGGGGCAGGTGACGGTCTCCCAGAGAGCCACAAGGATACAAGGCAAAGGGTCCCTATAAACTGATTATGAGTGAAAAACAGGGGTTGATTTTGATGTTTGCAAAGTCTAGTCTGGATGGACTCTGCTAGACGCGGCCTGCACAGACAAGAGCGGTCCCCATCAAAGGCACCTATGATGCATGAGCAGTACAATCAAAGATAAAAGAGATTTGACCTTGACATCAAGCAGAACCGTTTCAAAACCAAGACAACTTGAGAAAGAGCAGTTTGAAAGATATGATCTTCTACCTCAACACACTGGTCTTCATTCAAAAACTAACTCTGATCACCCTGCTTCCTACCATGAAAACTTTAGATGATTCCCCCGGTTCAGAGACCAGCCCCCCCTCAGCCCTTGTCCCAGCCCCAAACGAATAAAGTTCTAATCAAACTGTCCATTTGTCTCTTTCACGCAGGCTACACTGTTATAGGGGACCAGCTGTTTCCCAGTCCCACCTGCGCTCTCCTCCCGCCACTGTTCCTGCTGACTGTTCTCTGCCTGTGGAGGTCCTGTACCCCTCGGCAATCCCTAATTCTACAACCCACATGTGGTCTCCTCCTTCACATCCTCTTCTGCCATTCCACGATCAAAATCATGCTACTTTGTTCTGAATTGTTACTACTGTTGTACCTCCTCTATGAGAGTCTCAATTCCTCAAAGGAAAAAGGATAATTCAATCATTTTTGTGACTTTTCCAAGGTCATAATAATTGCAGGCTGCCGAATTAGTGACACGAAACAGCCACAGCCTGAAAGCCCTCCAGAGAACATGCAAGGGCAAGTTTGTTAGAAGTCTAATAATTCAATTATTTGCCACGCTGACAGACACTCATATGCTCCTTCTCCTATTGCTAGGAAAAAGCAATGGATAAGAAATAAACACAGAAATTATTCAGTAGAGGAGATAATGAATCAGACTGCAGTCTAGAAATTCTAGATCCTATTTTTAGTTATCTGGGCAGGTTGAATTTACCCCTTTCTCTACCTGCCTCCTCTGTAAGTACCTACTTTACAAAAGTGATATAAGGAATACGATCTTTATTAAAAGACATGTTAATATTTTTAATATCTTTCAGAACACTCTTCCCTTTGAAATATACTGGTTTACGTGTGCCCGTAAACTAGGCATATGTGAATAACCTCATTCCGGGACCCAGAACACCAGTATCATCTCTAGCTTTTCCTACAGTCACCACAATCAGCAATGCTTCTTGTGATTCAGAGAGTCCCTAAGTGTAAGGAAGCCCATTACCTGCCAAAGAATGCACTGGCACTTTTATTTTAAAAAGGCAAACTTATCTCTACCTCTACTTTCAGATTTTAGTCTACGACCCTCTGGCCATTGCATATCCTAATTTATAAAGGGGTCGAATGACCCAGAAGAAAAACACATACTGCGCTCTCAAAAGAAAATATGCTGTGAGATACTTTGTAATAGTCTTCGTGAATAAACAAGAAACCAAATGCACACCACGGGGGTGGAGACAGGCAATGAAACAGTAAAAAGGCAGTAAAAACTCTTGAACAATAAAGGCATCCAGTACCATAAGAAGTTAACATCTAGAGAATGATTTCTAACCCGTGACCTAGGCCAAAGACCTTACCAAGTGCCCTGCTGTTCTAGGCCCTCCAGTTCGCCCCTAATTTTTTCTGCATGTCTCATTTCCCTCAGCCCGTCAACCCACCTCCTTCCACCTCCGAACCCAGAACCCACGTCAACGGAGACCTCACCTCAAGTTCCCAGCAGCGTCTAGCCCATCCTGACATAATTCCCAGATTAGGACACGGAGCGCCTCTCTACCCACGAGGGGACAGGGTAAATTCAGAAATGCAGACCCAGGGCCAGGGAATGAAAAGTTCAGATCTGCGAGTGAGAACCACGACTTCTGACTTCTAGCACCTCAGCTCTTCCGCGCCTTTAAGCCAACAAAACTGATGAGGACTTCTTCCTCTGCCAAGAGGTTTCGCACCTCGAAGGCAGAGGCGACTCTCTCACAAAGCAAAAACGCATCAAGCGAAAGCAAACAAACCCAAGCTCGCATCTTAACTGCCACGACCATCCCCTACCGGGAACTTCAGCTGCGACTCTAACAAAGCCGTGCTGGGACTCGGTTCCGTGGGCTGGCCGTCCTGCAAAGTTAGGTGACCTCACACAGAAGCTCTCCCCTTCCCTCTCTTGCGGTCACGTCAGGTACCTGTTGCATCACCTGGCGAGTGGTCTTCAGAGGCCAGCGCAGGAGCCCCACCAGGACCCCCACAGAATTCAGCTGGGCTTGCTAAACTGGAGCCTCGTTCGCGTTAACGAGGTTGCCCTGGAGGCAAAGGGGTGCTGGCTCCCGTTCACCTTGGACGAGACTCTAGCACCGGCACCGACAGATGGGACTTTCGGGACCTGGAAGGGCTTGGGAGTTCCTGAGGACCCGGGGCAGGAAGAGGTGCTCGGGGACGGGGCGGCCCGGCGTCCGGGCGGCAGGAGAGGGCGGTCGGACCCCCCGACGGAAGCCTCGCCCGAAGGACGCCGATCCGCCGCCCGGGGGGTCGGGCCCGGCGCGGGCTCCGGGCCGCGCAGGGGCCACCGCCGGGGCTCCAGGCGCCCCGAGCCCGGGCGGGAGCCCTCGGGCGGACCGGGCAGCGCTGCCCGCCCGCCGACGTGCGCGAGGATTCCAACAGCCTCCTGCTCCCCTCCCCCACCCCGAGAACTAAGCTGGAGGCGGAGACGCGAGGCAGGAAGCGCAGGGGCCGGGGGCCGGGGGTCCGAGCCCCGCGCCGAGCGGCCGGAGGCTGCCGGCCTGGGCCGCACTCACCATGTCGTACACGTTGAGCACCACTAACTGGTTAGCCCCCATCCTCCTCCCCGCGGCCGCCGCCTCGTCCTCCAGCCGCTCCGTCTCCGCGGGGCCGAGGCCGCTCCCAACCCCGCGGGCACTTCAGGGGGCCGGAGCCGGGCACTACGCGCACAGCCCGGCCCGCGGCAGCCGGCGCGGGAGCATCGGGGAGCCGGGCCGCTCCCGGGCGCCGCCGACAGGACCCTCTGCGCCGACGGGGCCGGACCGCTGGCGGGCCCGCTCCGGCTCAGGCGCCTCCCCTCGGCAGCGGACACGTGGGGAAAGGCGGGGCCTGAGCGGGGCGGGGGGCGGGCGCCAGGCGCCCCGGGGGCGGGGCCGGCCCGGCGCCGGGGCTGAGCCCGCCTGCGCTCTGGCTCCGCGCGGCCGCACCTCGGGACCTAAAATGGCGCCTCTCACACTGCGGGAGCGGGGTTCTAGAAATACTACAATTCCCGGCATGCAGTGAGGAACACCCCCCCCCCCTTCCCCACTCCCCAACTCGCGGCTGGAAGCGCAGAGGCCGAGTCTCCACGACTACGGCTCCCAGCATGCCGCGGGCCCCGCCCCCTCCCGCTCCTTACTGCACCGGACCTCCCCGGGAGACTACAGCTCCCAGCATGCAGTGCTTGGGATCCGCGCCGGTCCTCTGCCGTGCGCCCTTGGCGGCAGGTGAAGTCCTCTACCTTCAACCCCTTTTCGTCGGTGCCACTGTTAGTTTCTGTCGCATTGATTCCGTGGAAGCCAGCTGAATGTGGCAAAAGACCATAGTGACAACCCTGTTTTTCAAACCCTCCGTGCTGCTTTTTTTTTTTTTTTTTGCACGTGGAACGGTGGGGAAATAGAGGAAGGCAGGTTGCTGGGGGTGCGGGTGGGAGTGGGGTGGGGAGGGGCACAATGTGCATCCGATCCGGTTAGTACTCAATATGAAATCTTACATTTTATGAAACTATCTTGCCGTCAGGGGAAGAGAGTGCAGTACTCACAGATTGGCATAACCCTAGGACACAGTAGTTGCTTTTCCATTTATTCAACAAATATTTGTCGTGTGCCTGCCATGTGCCCGGCCGTGTTGCAGGCCCTGGGGAATACCGTCCACAAGAGGAGGAAGGACAAATATGGGTGATATGTGCTTTGCAGAGAATCAGAATAGGATGAAGTGATTGACCGTAATCTTAGATTAGCTGCAGCTGGAAAGTCTTGGGGACGAGGTTTGGTTTAAACAGATTTGAATGGCAAATATCCGTCTGGACAAATATCCCCTCAAAGGGGAATAGCAAAGCTAACATTCAGGCAGTTGGAGGGTTGGGGGAATGAAGATGTTCTCTCCTGATTTGCTTTGATTTTTCGCAACATGTAAGAGGCAAGGCGAGGGATATAGGGAATTTGGAGAGAGAGGTGTAGAATAGGGAAAAACAAATATACTAGGGAAACAGGATTCATTTGCCAGTGTTGTGTGAAGGTAGGTGCTGTGTGCGTGATATTTGACTGTCCTCAAGTGCGATGTGGACAAATTTCTAAAATTAATTTCTGGTGTATCCTCCTGCTTTGCTTCCCTTCCCTTCCCTTTCCCTCTGTGGCCTTCCTCTCCACCTAACCCTGTTGAACAAGCTAGAGGTGTGGGGGAAAGGCTCTATCCCTTAACACCTCACTTAGTCTTGGCTGCGCAACTGAGGGTTCACACCGCTGGTTCACTTCACCTCTGACCCCGCCCACGTGCCTTACCCTTTGTGAAATCATCTGCTCCTAGCTTCGCTGTCCCAGGCCAGCCAAAAAGTCTGATGCCCCCATCCCCATACCCCTTGTCTCTCTTGAGCACTAGGCTAGTTTAACCTGGCACCTATAGGACTTCTCCACAAGAGGTATTAATTTCCTATTCTGTTATTAAAATGATCACCTGCTTAGTGGTTTAAAATGACATAACACAAATTTCTTAGAGTCCTACCGGTTAGGAGTCCAAAATGGGTCTCCCTGGGCTAAAAGTCAAGGACTGTGTTCCTCCTGGAGGTTCTAGGGGGGAGAATCTGCTTCCTTTCTCAGCTTCTAGAGGCTGCTCTCATTCTTTGGCTCATGGCCACATTGCCCTGACCTCTCTTTATCATATCTTCTCTGACTCTCCTGTTTAACCCTCTTTCACTTAGAAGGACTCTTGTGATTACATTGGCCCACCTGAATAATGCAGGATAATGTCATCTCAGGATCCTTAACTAATCATATCTGCAATGTCTTTATTCCTATGTAAGGTAATATATTTGAAGGTTCTCGAGAATTCGATGGGGACATCTCTGGGGAGCTATTATTCTGCCTACCACACAGGATGTCCCATGATCATTTCACATTCATCAGACACGAGAATTCACTGTCTGATGATGAAATGACTTGTTGCTTGTGTAATTTAGGTACTGATCCACCAAAAACTGAAATTATCCATCATTCATTCATTTTGAGCAAGTATTAAAGGAATACTTTTTATGTGTCAACCACTGTTTATCACTCATATATTGTGATAAAACAAGACTGCTGCTCTCATGAAGCTTACAAACAGCTTACAAACCAGTGGAAGACATAAAATATATAGATATTTTATGTCTTCCACTGGTGTGTGTGTGTGTGTGTGTGTGTGTGTGTGTGTATATATATTCATTAATTTATCACTTAAATTGAAGGAGACAACAGTAGTTGAGCATAAAAAGGAGGCTTTTTGGGGGGTAGTTGCCAGGAGTTGCTCTAGGAATATTAAAGAAACTAGCAAGAGAAATTTTAAAATAAACAGGAAATGTAATATAAACATTAACACGTAAAATTTAATATAAGAAACATTTCCTATAAAATGTAATATAAATGTAAATTGGGTACTGGAGGCCTAAAAAGACAAAAAAGGGAACACTGAGGTGTCACAGAGGTAATCAGCACCAGAAGCAGCTGTCATCCCCAAGTCTTGGGGAACAAAGAGGTTGGAATTTAAAGAGCTTTGAAGCTTGGAGGAGAGTCCCATTGAGCTGTGTTTAGTGTCTCTCAAGGGCGCTATGATGCCGGTCCTGGAAGGTTTTTATGAATTTGAGTTAGAGATCAAACAGTGCTATTCAAGCCTTCTGCTTTGCTGGGGTGAATAAATATGGCTAAGTTCACACAGACAGGAAAGGTGGGGACAGGAAGCCCTTGTTCCTCCTCCTTGCCAGTATCCCTCTGGCACGTGGTGCCAGAGAGAGCGACCAGAGTTCCAGCCTTCATCGCAGCCAGAAAGGCAGATTTGAGACTGGTAGGAGCCTTGATATCACCTCCCACAAAGGATTCCTTGGGCAACGTGGAGGGAGATTCAAGTTTCCAAAGCATTATAGAGAAAAATAAATGTTAAATTTCTTGCTCCGTGAGCCCTGTTGTAGAGAGGAACAGAGTCCAGCTGTGCCTGATTTCCTGTTGTGTGCCAAATTACCCCCAAACATAACAGCTTCAAGCAAAAACATCTTAGTTTCTAAGTCAGGAATCTGAGAACATTGGATTCATGTTTAGGTGAATATTTTTGGCTTGTGGTCTCTCCCAGGGTTTCAGTCATCTGAAGGCTTGACCGGGGCCAGAGGCTCCACTTCCAAGCTTTCTTACGTAGCTATAGCGGGAGGATCCGGTTGGTCACCAAAAGTTACAAAGGTGGAGTCTAGAGTTCATCTTGAAACAGTCCGTTTTCCATTTCAGAGTTACCAGTGGAAGAGGAAATGTGGTTGAAAAATTCAGAGGCTACTTGTATTTTTTTGTCTTAGATGTCTTTACTGATGAAGTGGCTTTTTAAGCCATTGATAATTGAACCAGCTTATGGATGTGACAGGGAAAGCGACGATCTTTGATCGGTCTTTGATAGTGGTCGTTGAAGTAGCTGCTCAGGTAGGCACTTCTGCTCTTGATCACCTTATGCAAGACATTTAGTTGTTCCTGGCTAGGTGATAAGAGTTCAGTGTAGCTCACCTATCCATGTTGTGCTTCCCATGTCTCCAGAATTAATTCCATATTGGCACTAAATATAGAGCTCATTCTTGTTAAAGTCTGGGCAATCAACTGCCCTAGGGGCTGTTCCATTCTTAATCGGTACAAAAAGGCCTGGGTCCCACAAGAACATCGCATCCCAGACTCCGTGACCAGACCAGGCAAGGACTTGGCTTGCCATTTTGGTAACCCATATGAGGATGTGTCCTTGCGCATTCTGTAAGATGGGCAGATAATGGAATATTGTTTTCCATGTGAATATGAATTATTTCTGATCTTCTTTTCTCATGGGAGAGTCTGTGCCCAGAGAAGAATGCATCTGCCAGATCAATAGTTGCACATGGGATACCTGAGCTCCAATGAACCCACCCTAACACAGATACACATCTAGCAGTTGGAACTGGTGCTCCTACTTGGCTAAATCTGAAGGAGTCATTCTCCTTTACTTTTACTTTACTTTTCTGCATGAGCCAACTGGGTCATTAAGTAAAGACATGACAGAGACCACCAATCCTCCATCTTTTTAGGTCCTTAATGGTCTAAGCTGATCTTGGCTATCCCCCCTGGAAAATGGTAATGATTTTCTAACATGGCTAGGTGTATGTGTAGGAGATAGTTTTAAAGGTTTGCATTTGACCTTCCCCACTATGATCATTCGTACTCCACAGACTGGGAGTCCAATGTAGGCTTTACTCCAACTGCCACATATATTAATTTCAGTTATGTACTTGAGGATGGGGAAAGAACCTCTGGGTGGCTGTGAGCCCCTGTGGCCCTTCAAGGTCCCCACCTGTAAAGGGGGGCTTGATGACACTTTGGGTTTCTTTGTATCAGTGTCAACTCAGACCTGTATCTAATTGTCCTCAAAATGCCTAGTTGTTTCACTGGTACGGTCACCTGAGTAAATGGCCATAGGTCTCGCGATGTGGCGGGGGGGGGGGGGAATTGTCATCATATAGACTCGCCACAGTGTTGTAGGGTCCTTCTTCCTTGGGAACTGGCAGATTCCAGATTTGGTAATCTGCTCAGGTCTGGGGACAGGAGCAAGGGACTGTGACTTTTTATTGGGACAATTACCCTTAACCACCACCTCTATTTTTCCTCCTTTAATAGATATAATCAAGAGCCTTGTTGGCTGTCTGACAATTTTGCCACCAACGCCAGCATATTCTACTGACCACAGTTCCCTCCACGTCAGGTCCCCTTGACCACTCCTTGTCTTTCACGGTAAT